CAGCTTAAACCGGGGTCCTAATCCTAATGGTTAGTTCAGGTTAAATTAGAATTGGGTGTTGTTAGAACTTTGGCTCAATTAACCAGTCATTGGATAAAAAGACGAGACATATTCTAAGGACAAACAAAGAGACTGACACAAAACACAGACTCACGGGACATTGCCTACACCCAAGAAGGACAATGCATCTCTACACTACAGCAGAAAAACAACAAAATGATACACCTAACCCACACATTCACCTCCGATGCAACAAGTAATGGATGAACCAGGAATGTAAATGTCTGTTACTGTAAAGAAGACACCTTAATTCTTCTTTTACATCAATTAAGGATGTTTTCTTAATATGAGTCACTATTAAAAAAAAAATCAGTCAAAATACTTTCTGGTAAGAGTTATTAAAATACTGCCAATATATTTCTAACATTTTCTTCATGGATGTTACTAATGACAAAATGTACTTAAGGTTTTTTTTACTAAGTCTCACTACTGCCAAAAGTATTTAAAATGTTACAATGATAAGATACAATACAGTACTGCCAAATATAAAATAAATACATATTTTCTTGTTGAAAGTTACCCGGTACTATTGTCAAAAAGGGAAAGATACCAGGGAGGGATCAGAGAGGGTGCCAGGGAGGGGCTAGAGAGGGTGTCAGGGAGGGACTAGAGAGGGTGTCAGGGAGGGATCAGAGAGGGTGTCAGGGAGGGATCAGAGAGGGTGCCAGGGAGGGGCTAGAGAGGGTGTCAGGGAGGGGCTAGAGAGGGTGTCAGGGAGGGACTAGAGAGGGTGTCAGGGAGGGACTAGAGAGGGTGTCAGGGAAGGGCCAGAGAGTGTGTCAGGGAGGTCAATAGTAACACTCACAACTCAGTATATTATAATCAACACAAACTATGTAAACTCAATGTATTAATTTGTCTGTACAGTACATGTGTACCAGGTAATAATTTTGTCTGGATATGTTACAGGACAGAAGACATGAGTAAGACTGGCCATCAGTTTCTTGGGTGAGTGTTTCACAACCCATCTTATGTTTACGATACTTTACGGTGGTTCTAACATCTGAGGGTTTGATGCATCGACCAGAATATGTTGACGCAAGTTCCAAAGCCTCGTTTAGTGAGGCCACGGCAGGCAATGGAGTTTCATAAACCAGACAAGCACCACCTCAGTTGTGGACTAGTTATGAGTCTCTAGTCTGAGAATATCTTACATTCATTATTGAGTGTTATTGTAATTATCATTCTTTTATTTTGTACTTATTGTACTTATAATATGCAGTTTTTTGTTGGTGAAGCTGTAACTACCGTCTGGTCAGTATTACTGGCTGACAGTAGGTCCCATAGGCTTCATGAACCATCAGGGCGGTGTGGACAGCACACAGTATATTAAGTCTCTGGTACACAGAGAGGTAAGGTGGCTGGCACTGCAGGTAACTGCCATTGTTTCTCCAGCTATAAAGTAACATACCTATAAACAGCTGGGAGGATCACACCAGTAGTCCTTAAGACAGGAGGTAAGTGTTGTATCACTCACCTGCCACACACAGGTGGAGTAAAATGATCTGTTAATTGGTACTGTACCTGAGTTGCTTTCTTAAAACATGGCTGAGATATCTGTTAAATCATTGTTGTTGTACATCTGTATTTATATTTTTGTTGTGTGTTACGCTGTCAACATAAGCTTCATTATGTCTTGACACTCGGGTGGTGGTCAAGGGGGTGATTAAATACAGTTCACCAGTATTTTAGATCTCTATTTATCCATGTATACAGTAGTCTGAGGTATTACTTTTATGCTTCCAAATAAAGAGAGAACAAAATCGACACACTTTTTTTGTTTGTTCCTAAATAAAGAATTCCAATTTAAATTCCAACTGATGATATAATTACCCAATATACAAAATAGAATAACAAAAATCAACTTTCATTACCACAGTGCATAAGCTGACAAAAGTGACAGTCCATTAAATCTTGGTGAGCACGTAAGGCTGGCTATATATTCTCAAGTCCTACCTACAGTCCTATACAGTGCCTGGGTAATGAACCTTGCTGCACGAAGGATAATAAAGTTTCTCTATACTGTACCTGTATAACATTTTTCATACAGTCTGGGATGCAATAAAGATCATCACACTGAGGAGACTACTGTACTGTATACAGTATTTAAAATGGAGTCTGCCTACCACTCACTCTATATACACTTGTCACATTATGGATCGATCAATAAACACAATGTGCACAATTGAAAGCTGTTTGTGTGTGTGTATATTCCGTTATATTTGACAATACCTCATCCAATTCTTGTCCGTACCCTCAAAAAGTTAAAATTAGTGCTCCTGTAATATCCACTAGTGTTTGTCGTAGCTAAACAAAATGAACACGATATTCTAATTTCTAATGTGTCCCCAAAGTCATTAACACATTGACAATGATGACGAAAAAATTTATGAGAAATTGGAACTTTGAAAATGTGTTATCTCTTGTCATTTAGGTACAAATATATACAGTAGTTCACATCTATAATGGCATTGTATATTGTCTTGGCTGCCTTCTAATATATCGAAAATTGAGTCCCTGTACATCCATGTAACAATTACGAAAAAATCACATAATACCTCACAAATTTTCAAATAAAAGTTTTCTCAATATAAGGTAAGTTTTGATAGAAAGACCCCTACACCATAATGGGACTGACACATACCACAGGGACTGACACATCGTACAGTCACCAGACAGAACCCATCATTATAACTCGAAGGTTGCTGTGGTCATATATATATAAACACACCTGTCACAACTACATCCCAACACCAGGAGTCTGACTGTAAGAATTCAAATCTCTCAAGACACCTCAATATACAGGTAGTATGTCATTAAAGGGAAAGACCTGAAACTTATTAAAAACAACTTTATATCAACATTTTCTTTATTGTTAATGATTTTTGGAAAGTCACAGGTCTAAAATTTAGTCACCATTCCCTCTTATATCAATATGTACATGGAGTTGATTTATAAATAACCAGTACTAGATTAGTAAGAACTGCATTAAGGCGTCAGTGACAATGTGTGTATCAAATGAGGTTATCATCATTAGTGTGCAGTTTTAAGTTACTATGTGCTGTTTTCAATATCTACTGGGCAGGTCTGTGAGTCTACATTAAAGAATGTCGTGTTAAATCTACGAAGGAGTTTCCTCATACAGCAAGCTCTCATCTATACAAAAGTGATGTTATTTTAGTTATTGTTTTCCTTTACTCTACAAGACCTATACTATAGCTAAGTAATGGCCAGCCCATTATGCATTTTTCCCATTCTCAAAGCAAGCGCTTCTTCTCTGGTAACGAGCATTATTTGTAAAACCTTAAAGCAGAATATCTTAGTAAATCAGTAACAGACATTTTACACTGGTGATCAGCAAACAACTAAGACCGTCAAAATTTTTTATGTAGTACGTAAGCCAAATTTGTTAAGGTAAGAATATGTGAGAACTTGTATTCTGTTCCTTATGCAAGAATTGAGTTTACTGTGATAGTGAACATGGCAGACAGTCTTTAGTACTATCCACAACCATGGTACAAGCATACTGTTCCTGAGAATGCTTTAATACCACACTTTTGATTTATAAAAAGAAGATAATGTACTGCACAACAAGCTACATTTAATGATATCCAGTCTATGACACATTAAGTCACGATTCATTCTTGAAAAAATACACAATAATGCTAAACTTTATGAGAAATTACTGTACTATATAGAAATCAGCCACAAGAGAAATTTAATATGAAAATAAACAAAACCTTTGCAGTATCAAAGAGTACAAATAAAATCTTCAATGGTCTTTTAGGTCAATAATAAGGAACAGAATACAAGAGTTCCCACAAGAGTATCACTTTTATGAAGTCCTCCCCAAGCAGGCAGTGAAAAAGCTATGATGTATCTCACAATACCTCACCCTAGCCACTCCACTCACACTCCTCCAAACCTCCTCGTCTACACTCCACTCTGCATCTCCTCTGCAATAATTATGTGGGGAAAGAAAGACTTTTAAAACTCGAAGTCCACGGGTGTGTGTCTGTCTCTATGTCTGCACGCCACTCTTGGCGATGGCGTGCGCGACTCAGGACACGTCTACACTCCGAGAACACCGATCTCTTACTCACCCAGTGCAGGACACCAAGAGACCTGTTAAGCCTAGAAACCTCGGCCCTAGAAATGATCAATGTCTAATTTATCTGTTAAGAAGAGAGCACGGCAGAAAACTAGCTGATCAACTAAGACAAAAGTGCACTGAAGTTCCAAAGATGAACAGTAAAGCAGTCAAGATAATGCTGATTGACAATTTCAAGAGCTGCTTATTTTATAGGTTAGTGTTAAGGCCATTCACTTCTGATAATTCAACATAATTAAGGATCACCGTTCAGGAATATAGGTAATTTATTAACTCAAGGGATCAAACTGCAAAATGAGAATAATATCTATCCTATCCCACAGTTGTGCGGGGTAGACCAGGGTACACATACAGTACCTCATGGCAGGACAAAATTAATGATATTGTTTCAGTATTAAAGATTTATCAGTCACTGAAAAAAGCCACTATATAAACTATTATTATTCTTTTATTATAGTCTAAGCATCTATCACACTATTTAATAATACTCTGGTTTTAATTTTTATAGTTAGAAGTACGATACTTCAATACAACATTATCCATCACTATTTTAATGAGTTTTAGTAGTATATTTCCACACAAAAAAAATTCAGAGGTGAATTTAGTGTAATATCATAATAATAAAAAATAATAAAAAAATAAATAATTAACTCCAAAAGATATAATTTACAGATTTAAGATATAGAAAATAAAGTAGAAATATTAATCATCTAGTATATATAAAAATATATATATTGCCATCTACAACTAAATAATATGAATCTTTAAAAAGTAAATGCAACACACGAAGCCATCATGACATAGGATGACTAACATAACCCAGACTTACCTGACATGAGTTTATGAGTTTCTTTAGGCTCTTCCACAGCAGCCGCGTTGTTCTGCTTCTCCGTAGGTTCCCGCACAGGTGATCCAGGGGCTCCCTTTTCACATAAATACAGTATATTAGTTTTAAAAGACATCCCGAGTAAACACAGAAAGTCTCACTCAGCACAGAATAACACACCCACCTATGTCTATAAAGATAGTTTAAATCTTGTGCTTTGCTACATCACACACTTAACAACATCACTGTAAGCTAACATTACCTCCCACTGAATCACTTTCTTTATTCAAGTCTGACAAACTTTTTCCAGAGCAACACAAAACTACTCCCACTATTTGCTCTTGTTTACTCCCTCTTCCTGCTGTAACACACGAGTTCTGATTTGGTGTTACTGTACTTTATTCTCTTACTGTATTGCATCACACAACATATCACCACCACTCAACACTGTATTCCCTGGTCATACATGTAGTAGGTAGTAGGCAGCTACCAATCAGGGAGGTACTACCGCCTGGGAAGATATTGGAAGCATAATGTGTTGTCTACTGTAATGGTAGACCCTGCTGCCATATGTGACCAAGTCCCAGGTTGATGATCTGACTTTCTACCTCATTTACACATAATTGCAGGGTCTCAATTGTTTCTCTTATTTTGACAACACAACATACATACAGTATAGCATTTCTCACTCTTGATCTTTTTTCATTTTGTATTTCTTTGTGGTTCTTTATTATTATTATTATTATTATTATTATTATTATTATTATTATTATCGGTATTATTATTATTGTTATAAATATTTTATTTTTAATTTTGTATTTCTTATTATAAATTATATTTACTTTGAACTAATTATTATTAAAATTTTTATTATTATTTCATTTTCGCCCCCCAGGTTCCGTTGTGGGCCAGTGACCTGTGCCCGGGTGAGCTAATCCCCGTAAAAAAAAAGAAAAGAAAAAAAAAAGTTTCCTGTCCTACTCAGCACCTCCTTCCACCCTCCCCTTGGTCTTACCCTCTCCCACCTACCTGAATCTAAGACTCTTTTTGCCAATCTTTCATTCCTCTTTCTCTCAGTACTAGGTCTAAAAAATTGTGAATCACTGGTCCCATTTGTTCAGGTGACCATAAAGAATGTTCTCCCCACACTATGCGGTTACATGTGATCTTCAGTTCCCCAATTCTATCACACAAGGTACTAATACAGTAATGCTCTGTCACTTTTCTTAATTATATCATCTCTTCATTTTTATCTAATTCTATTCAATGCATTCAAAGATTATCTCAAGATATGTTTTCCTCAATCATTTTGTTAACCACTGTTTGTAAACTTTGTGGCCAACCCGACTCTCACACCCTCTCTCACTACATCCTCACTTGCCCTATGACCTCCTCCTATAGGTCCCCAGCTGTTACCGACACCTCTTCCCTCCCAGACCAGATATCCCTCCTCCTAGTCACAGGCCTGGCATTTGACATTATTAGGGACCTGCCACTCTTTGCCATAAACAGATAAAATGTACCGGGAACTTTGCCCCCACACACTCATCATTCTCTCACTTTATGTAACTTGACAGAACCTATGACCCTTCACGCTTTTACGCCCTTAATGTACGAGTCATAAAGGCAAGTATGAACTTTTCATACTTCCCTGTTGGGTGCTGTAAACGCTTCTGCGCTTCACCTTGCACAGGATGTAAGGGGGTGCCCAATAAACTAGCCCCCTTGGGGGCAAATCTGAAATCTGAATTTTGTTAACCTTATTCTATATCTACCAGAACCTATCTTATCTAACCAAAGACAACCAAACTAACCTAACTCCACACCAAACCAAACCTAACCCTGCCCAAGTCTATACAATGATCAACTTCCTTCTGTTTCATACCCAAACTAACCTAACACCAAGCTATACGTAAACCACATCCATATTATATTTCACCTAAATTAACTTAAACTAAATAATCTACCTTAATATAACCTACCTGAACATGACCTAACCTATCCAAACCCCATTCTCAATTAAGTGCAGTTGGACAGGTGAAGTAAACATAACAAAATCCACATTTAAAGACGAATTATTTATATGTCTCAGTAAATAATAGATAATGATCACATAGACAGGCTCAGTGTGTCTTACCTTGGGTGGCTGTTTGATGCAGCTGATGGAGAATAAGACAAAAGCCCCGACGATGGGAGGAATGCCGGCACAGAGGAATGGTATGAGGTAGCTTTGCAGATGGTCATATAGAGCACCTGTGTAAACGTGTGTCATTTAGTCATAAAATATAATTACTACACTAAACTATAATATATACTGTATATGGACACAAACTCTCATATAAATCTTAACCTTGATGTAAAGTACTACATATTCTGGAGCCATTGTAACTAGTACTTAGTAATTATTCTGGATATGAGTACAGAATGATGAGAACTTTATGTCTGGCATTTGCATATGATGATACAGTAGTGAATAATATGACAAGTTATTCTCACAGATTATGTATACTGTGATGAACACACAAGATGAGAAGGTGGATGATTATATTAGAAATGAGTCAACACCCCCCTGTAGGTTATGTATCTAAGCTACTGTGCCGAGTAGCAACCTTGTATATAAGCTACTGTGCCGAGTAGCACCTATGTATATAATTACGTGGTAACACTGCACGTGTTATGTGGCAATGTTGACCACGTGCAGTGTTACTGGTGCTACTTGGCACAGTAGCTTATATACAAGGTTGCTACTCGGCACAGTAGTTTAGATACATAACCTAAAAGGCATCTGAAGGGTAACAATTAGGGTTATTCTCCTTCCTCCTGGATTTCCAAAACACATCTACAGGTTATAAAGAACCCCCTCCCCCTCCCCCTCCCCCACAAATACTATATGACTTCCTAGGACTATTTCCTTCATTTGGAAAGAATCATTTACACAAAATAATTAATACAATGACACCAGACATCACATTTTTATGCAAATTATGGACGACCACTGCTGCTTTGACCTTTAGGAGGCACATCTATACATCAGAAAGATTAAAGAAATACTGTACTGGCCTTGTATATAGTATGTATATTATGTATGCTGTATGTATATTATGTATGTGCTCTATTTATATACATTATTTTTCAGCCTAGCTAGCAGCGTGTGGCAATGTATTTACCATGTCCCACACGCTTAATTAATGTGCCTGGCGACATATGGAAGCTGCTTATGTATCACTTGCCACATGTCGCCTGAAAGGCTAGTTGACCCCACAGACAGAGTAAGGAGAGCCACCTCGCTTGTGTATCTCTGTTTGTCCAGTAAATAGAACCTACAAAGACTCTACAGGTGTTTGTGTTCGCTCCTGTAGATAGAACTTGGTACCCAGAACATATACATATATGTCTCCCTGGGATTATTTATCTCTTGGGAGGAAGGAAGTAATCCAAGCATCGTACTGCAGAAAATACTGTGCACATTATGCTTATTATGGGGAGGACTAGTGATCCTGCCCTCAATAAGCATAGTATCTAAAATCATAATGAACCAAAACTTTATGGTTCTCAAGGGTTTGGGAATAATTAAGCTGACAAAGAAAGTTACCAAAAACCAGTCAAACAGATGGTGTGAACTATGATGGTACTGCTCAAGGTAGGGCAGCCATGGGGTATAAAAAGGTAATACACTTTAGTAAGTAACAGTTGAAACTAACCTGCAATAGCTGGACCACTGGTGAGGGGGATGGAGCACATGGCGAGGAGACAACCTATGGCCTGAGAAGCTCCTACAGGTCCAACAATATCAAAGGCGATGGGCCCCAGAAGGGAGATGAAGCAGCCGTCGAAGAGTCCCATGCCTAGAGTGATCACGATGAAGAAGGGCATAGCATTGGCAGCAGTCAACAGCATGGTCAGAACACCAATACAGAAGAAGGAGATCTAAAATAGAGAAGTCACCAAAGTTTACCAGCCATTTATATAAACAATACAATATGAATTAATCTGACTTATATATACTGTACTGTAATTGATGTCTCATGTTTCACTCTCTTTGGGATCTATATCTGAGGAAATGACAGAAACAAGAAAGGATTCTGGCTTCCCTATCTGAACATACTTGCTATAATATCCCCAAATCAGGGGTTGAATTATGAAATCCCATTTTTATTGCTAAAGGATAGAGAGTAATCCCATACAAAACAAATACTACAAACAAAGTAATTATCTTCAACCAAAAACTGCACAAGAAATATAAAATTAACATCAACATTTAAGTGTGGCTGACTGACAGCTAACTGCACTTGTTCACCTAAGGGCTGGAGGGTAACCCCCTCCCCTCCTCAGGTTCCCAAGTGAGAACAAATTTGATCATTTTCATCTTTCATATCACATCCATATGGATTCTTTCTCCTATCCTGGTAACAGTCATCCCTTATATCTATGTAGATGTAGACTGAGTGACCATGCTGTAGTATTTGATCATTTCTGGCGATGTCTAGATCTATTTAAAGCTGTATTTACTCTTGTGTGCACTAAATGTATCTTAATATCTTCATATTATCAACAAATATACATAATTAAAGTTAATTTTAAGGTAACTTATAAACAGGGAATTTGCATAAACATATTCAAAGCTCACAGGACATGACATGAGTCATCCAAGTTTACAGTGAATGAACTGTATAAGCTACAGAAAAATATAGGTGACTGAAAACACTGGAGTCAGAAATGCTGTGTGTCTGAGAGTTCAGTGAGACACATCCCCCACAGAGTATTAGGGGAATGATAGGTTTGAGACAGTTGTGAGGGGACTGATTGACTCTGTTCTGATTGGAGATTAATATATGACACTCACCTGACAACACAGTGTCAGTGTAAAAGGTATAGTTAGACCTTGTCATTATGGTATCCAGTGAGACTGTCCTTGAGTGAGGTCTGCATTACATAGTCAGCCCTCTAGGGAAAGGTGGACATCTGCCCGACTACTGTATTGTAAGAAACTGCTCACCTGCTGCAGGATAATACGGTTGACCCAAGGACGATCTGCAATCAAGCCAAAGAAGATGCGACCAAGGCCAGAAGTGATCCCCATACACTGAACCAACAGCTGTGAGTTTGCATCTTCACCGAGGACATTTTTCGCATATTTAACCTGCAGAAACAATGGCTATGTAAGGGAAACATGTTGAGGTAATTTTATCAGTAGGCATAAAATTAACATGCACAGTATATAAATTGTTGTCATGCCTTCTGTCTAATATTCCTATCAAATTCAAAACATCATACTGTCTATAATTGAGTGTTATTAGTCCCTAAATAAGTTTGATGTACAGTACCTCCCTTGTGAGGCGGAGGTGCTCAGTAGCAATGAAGTTTTATTTTGCCGCCTTTTCCCCCAAGTCTCCGGTTAACTTTTAGATACTGTATAACGTCTCCTTGAACCAGATTATAAATCAAGGATTGATCTTGGACATCCCATTTTTTAAGTAAGTTTGGACAAGCAGACACTGATCCTCTGTCTTGCCTTTGGTTTCTATCATGGAGTTTCACTGGACTGAGATTGATGCTGGAAATCTTAGGTGGCTGATGGCAGACCAGAAAAAAATGCATTTCCATGTTACTGTAGCTCCACGCATTTAATAGTGCCGGGCATCAATGTTGAGACCTTGGTTGAAACTCATAGACTTGGTGATATATTATAAGCAAGCATCCCTGTCCCAGCTCGATTGTTAAATGGGTTTTCCAGTATCAATACTTGAGATGTACATATGCCAGAACAGTACAGTGGAATGCTGTATACTGAACACAAACAAGAAAGGTTTAAAGACAATATTAAAGGTAAAAAGAGGAAATAAAGAATTCTGTAGACATGTATTACCATATGAACATAAGGGACAAAGTAGCCAAACAGAGCTGATGGAATGCACAGCGTCCAGATAACGTAACGTTTGTTTAACCAGATGTCAAAGTTGATGATCCGCGACCAGAAGCTCAAACAATGTCCCTTACATGTGTTGTCGTATTGAGGTCTGGCCTGAGGCAGGATGGGCATCAATGGTTTAAACACCAAGGCAGCTAACTGTACCAAGAAACATGAGAATTTTTTTTTTTAAAACATGAAGATTAACCTTATTTTTTCTATTATTACAATATTGTGCTTTCTAATTTATGCATCTATCAACAACTCTGGTGCCTTGATTTATTCCGATAAACTGTACAGGAATTATTTATCCTTACTTCTACTGTTACTTTTTAGTGCTGAGGTCAACATCACTTACCATAAGGAAGGCATTCAGTCCAGCTAAGACTTGGAAGGTTGTCTGAAGACCAATGTCAAGGACATGTGGCAGGATGAACGGCAGAGCGATCGTGAAGACCGAGGAGCCGGCAGTGACGAAACCGTTAACGAGGCCCATCCATCGTTGAAAGTAATGACCCAGAATGACCAGAGACGGAGTGTAAGCCAACGACGCCCCCCCACCAAACATTAATCCGTACGTAATCATCAGTATTTCCACCTGTAACACAAAACACCCACACTGAAATATCCATATTATATTGTCTCTGATATGTCTCATTTACTCTCCTGTTGGCCATAGCTGAGGTACACACATGGCACAGTGATTGATTTTTTAAAACATAATGGCAGTTCTAATCTAACAAGCTAACAGGAATCATTTATACTAAGTACAACAATTCCTAGCAGGGTTGGAAGATTTAAACCA